ATTTCTAAGATTAATACAATATAATTTGCCTTTATAAATAAAAAACGAGAATTTTTTGACTTTGAAGTAGATAATAAATAATTAAGACTAGATGGAACATCTAAAGATTATTCGAGAGATGGATCACAGCGACTTAAAGAAAATGACGAAACGTCATCCAAAAATATTAGATCCAAAGTCTCCCCAGACTTATTATGGATCATATTTATTTGAAAAAGGCCCAGATCAGAAAGCACATTCAGGAAATCATGCGCATTATCTCGAGTAAAGCTAGGTACTAGTAAACTGTCATTAAAATTCCATGATACACAGGGTAAATTGAAGTCGCCTATCACAACATTTTCAGACGTTTTAGTATCGGAAAATAATGATTTTTACCTTGACGACAGAAGAGAGTAAGTAGAAAAGACAGAATTTGGCGGTATATAACTGGCGACAATATAAACATTTTTATTAATTAAACGTATTTTAACACAAAGGAATTCATCGCTTTCGATTTCGTAAAATGAAATTCTTCCGCAGCAAGGTCAGTTTGGACACCAATAAGTACTCCACCTTCAATTTTATTTAAGCTGTCATCTCTAAAAACTTCAAAGTTGTTCCCTAAGATTTCAGAGTTGAAGACATTTAGTTTACGCTAAGTTTCGGAGAAAGCCAAAATTTCATAATCGCAGTTTAAGTCTTTCAGCTTAGTGTTCAAACCTCTTACGTTTTAATAGTAAATATTCAGAGGATGCTGCAAATAATTGAGAAAGATTGTTACTAATCTTTCTTTGCTTTAAATGAAACTCTCGGACAAACGGCAACGTCTATTTTAAAGGAAGCTATCGATATTTCATAGGAAAATTTGAACTTCTTAATATCCAAACTAACTGTATTTAATTTACCTGATGTATAGGATCGCACGTCAACCGCAGTTGTATCTTTTGCAAACCGCGATACAAATATAGACTTCCTATTCGGAAGCACAACTAACTCTTTTTTAGCTGTGGTTAAGGCCGAGGGAGGTGCTGACGGAAGTAAACGCTCTGGAGCAGCGACTATTTCAACAAGCTTAGATGCAGTCGAAGTACTAGTAGGATTGTGTGCTACTTCTAATGTCTTCGGTAGCTCTAGTTACACAGCCTAAAGGATTTGGAGGATTGTGTTCCTCTTGGCAAGAGGAACTAAATTACATCAAGTCTTTATTTAAATTCGGGCTGATTAATGAATTTATAGGAGCGTGCGAAGCAGTAACTGGATGTATAACTATCCCTGTATAACTATCCCGTCGTTACTATCTTATTACTGTCTTGGACCCTGGCTTCATTTTCGGGGAATCTGAGGAACCATTGCATTTAAAAGATTTAAGTGCTTCCTCATATTTATGAAATTTTTCGGTAAGGACTTTCAAGCTTAAAAATAAGCGAAATAGCACAGTTTACAAGGCAATGTAATAAAACCACGATCAACTGATTGCTGTTAGGCGAAAATAATGAGAACAATGAGAGAGAGAAGGTAATAATTTATATGTATGAATAAAACGGAGAAGAGGGAAAGAAAAATAAATAAACAGATAAAAACAAACTGTAATACTCTCTCTTCTAAACCTAAATAATATTATGTATGTATGTATGTAAAGAAATCAAATAAATTAACTAAAAAGAAAATGTTAGTACTACGTGTATTTAATGTTGAAATGTGCCCAAAAATCAAAAGATTTTAACAGAACACTTAGCTTCGACGGTACGCTAATGTTTTTAACAAACTTTTAAGATAAAATTTAAAGATTTTGGCACTTTAAACTTAAAAAATTTTTTAAAGATTAAGACAACCGCACAGTACGAATATTCCAACGAACTCCGAACGAACTACAACGCTAAGAGCACCTTAGCACAGTTTGGGAATTAGAAACCATACTTGTGGGAAATTATTCTCGTACTTATGCAGCCTCAAGAAGCCGAATGTCCTCTGGGTAGTCACCAAACATCCGTTTGTATGCGATCTAAAGCGAGAATGTGAAATCACCTGAAATCTTAGCTCTAATGAAAAATTACATAAACCTCGGACGGGGGACACCCTATTGTTAACGAGCTCCGCAATTGTATTGCAGACAGAAAATGTGAGTTCATGTTAAATTTTCTCCGCTGAATAAACATCTGGTCGATATTGTGCTTAGCGAGCAAAAAAGGTATTGGCATAACAGTAGGAAAATTCAGCACCCATGACTAAACATCCCCAAATTGATTCGCCGAGCCTGAAATATGGTTGTCTGTAGCAGTAGATTACAGGACAAGTAAATTCATCAGGCTACTTGGCTGCCCCCAGAACGAAAAACTCTCAACCAAATCAGTCATAATAGACAAACGATACTTCTCCATATGAGCATACGTTTCGAGGACCTCGTAGCAATGAAGATATGCATCCGCCTATGTGTATCAATGTATGTCCGTCAACAAACATAACGTCGACTGCTGTTTACGTTCGGGCTTATACTCTTAAATTCACAATCATCTGTCACGACATAACCGCTTTCGAAGTACCGCTATCGCATTTTTTTCACGATCAATCGATATGAATCTTTCTACGAGCGATTGACAAATTGTTTTGAGTCGAAAGTGAGCATATTTTTACAATCAAATGTTCATGCATTATTGAATATATGCCGGTTATGTTAAATTTTGCGATAAAGTTGTCAGTTGTCAGATTGAAACGCCAGGATTGCCAAGTCCAGAAATATAAAAGACTACGCTCGTATGCTGTTGTTCATATTCGATAGTAATGAAAAGGAACTGCTGTATTGATAAATCTTTGCCATGTTTCGGCTAAATTTCTAAGAACAAAAGACGTTCTAGTAAATTCAAACATATTAATAGGGGTATCAGTCGATTTTTTATAAATATCTTCCTATTGAACTTTGATGCTACGCTACTAACGGTAAATCTGTGTGCATCATTTTCGGTTTGAGGTACACTTTTATAGTAAAGTTTGTTTTTGTTGTTAATTACATAAAATATATATATATATATATAACTATATTTTAAAGCATAAATGAAATGTGTATATCTGCCGCTATTAACTGGCATTCATTTTTTTGGAAAATTTAATTAATTTTTAAATAAAACTTAATATACTATTTCTTACACAGCTGCATCACTTTGGCATTGAGCCACTATACAGGGTCCGTCACGTAACTTTTTTTTTTAAATGCAATAAAACAAATGCCCATTCGGCAAAGGCAAACCGCATCGGATGGTCTCGTGGCTTCAATTCTTGAACCAATTGAACTTTTTATGGTGTCATACTAAGGTCTTTTCAAAATTCGCCTAAGGGACGTCTCGGAAATGTCCAATTGTTGAGAGCGACGCTTCACTGATGGTCCGGGCGCCTCACGCAGAGCCACAGCAGCGATATTACCGGCAGTACGCACTTTTTTGGTTTCTCACGCGTTGGCTTATCAATAATTCTGCCGGTTTCTCTCAATTTTTTCAAAAGAAAACGCACATACGGAGCGGACGGTGCTTTGTTACGGCTCATTTCCGTGCGTAATTTTCGCACACATTTTCAAAGTAAAACTCCAATATTTTAACGCGTTCCTCAATCGTATACACAACCATTTTCGTTCAGCGGAAGGATAAAACTAACTTTCTGTCAAATCAGATGTAACATCAGTGTTACCACACTCAAAATAACCCCTAGTTCAAAAAAAAAAAAATGTTAGATGGCGGACCCTGTATGTGTTGAGTAGAAAATATTAGCATTAAATTTTTGTTTGCTATTTTAGTTTTTTTCTAATGTATGTTTTTAAAGCCACATTTTTTCGGCCAGCTTATCTAATTCTTCGATTTTCGTTCTTTCGCAGGCCCTGTCAAACCGAAATACATCTCAGAAGAGTGTTACTTATATCAACAATTTAATGTTCCTATCCAAACGATCGCTAAATAACAAGCTCTCGCCCATTCGTTCCGAGCAACTGCCGTTTAAAGATACTTATAGTTTCTTATTTTCCCGCGACGAACAACAAGCAGCGCAACTTTTCATAGGCATCATTTTTTCGAGACGATATTGAGGAACGATCTCTTCTTCTGCATTCAAATATTATACCTAACGTTTTAAATCAATGTATGTATGCATGCTGATAGCAACAAAATATCCCGTGAATCTTTCATTAATGACTCGTAAATATTTAATTTTTTTTATGATTTTGTACTATATGTTGCAATTCAGTCTTGTAAACTACAATAAGCAAATGTTCTAAAACCTACGTAACGTAACGTACATAATTTTTCGGCATATACTATAAATGACAAGCAAACTTAATAGTTATTTATTTCCTATATGAGTGGGGGGTGTAACAGGAAATGATTTTACCCAAAACGTTTCCTCCATTTCATCTAAAAGCGGAACAGATATAAAGTTTATAAAGTCTTTTAAATACCTAGAACCAAATTTCTTGATTTCGTACATGTCGCATGGAATATTTAGATCCTTATTGAAAGTTTTGTTTTATACGAATCAAGGGTCAGAATTTCTCGGCTTTAGCAACGGGAGCACTTTACCCAGTTTTAACATATTGGGTATTGTCAGAGCGGACAATGATAAAGTGAAGACCTTGGTGCGGAATTCTGCTTCTGCTGATTAGATGTTTTCTTATTATTTTCCCGATAAGTCCCTGAATCTATTCCCCCGAAATATTAAACCTCGCGCGGGTACTTGGCATTTTACGTAGACGGCGGCTCACAAGTCGCCATTTTGGGTATGGCGAGGGACAGTCATTATATCTCGTCGGATTTGACAGAGACCTAAAGCTTGGCTGCGCCAGAGGAGAATTTATCCTGGATTTAAAAGGGGTTTATTTGGTTTGAGTTTAAAATTGTTACCACAAGTTATACACTGAATACCAATTTTTAGTTAGAGACTAAAATTGGAGGGGCATATAAATTATTTAATTATGTGTTGCGCTTAGGACTGCAAAAAATATTTTTTCATATATTAAAAACATTTAAGTTTTGTATACTCACCCATTGTATCCAAGATGTTGTCAAACTTCCTAGCATTGCAAAAAGATTGAACGTCAGAAAACAGGTAACTGAAGTAAATAAGTCTGCCTTTTGTATAAAGAAAGCATTTGATGATACCTTTATATCTATAATTAAAAGAAAATAGAAATAGAAACAAAATTAAAAAATTATTTCATATGGTTAACGAATATTGAATGTCTGTCACATGTACAAATGAGAAAATTAAATTAAATTAAAAACAAATTATAATGAAAAAAATTATATTTTTTATTAAATTAAATTAAATATTTATTCATTTTAAACACGAAACGCGAGTGGTTTTATGCCGAAAGATTTATAGCTAATATGATTATCAGAAATGTTCAACTAACGAAACGACAGTTTTTTTTTGTTAATATAAAAAATAAGCTTAATGAATGGTTCGGAAATGGATGTAAATTATTAATGTTGAAACTGTAAAAACGTAAATGTCCTTGCTATGCCCACTTAAATTTTAACGTTTTTCGATTAACGACAGCATTTCGTTTCGGGTAATTTCGTTTTTGTTGGTAATTTGTAAGCATGTTCAGTAAGCGAATGCTGAACGCAATGATTAACTAGCGCTCAGTAAAAATGTTTTTATACTACTTTCTACTAATCGGAAAAGTAACGGAATTCAAAGTAAATAAGCAAAAAATTGTATGAAGTAACTATGACAAGGTATGTAGATGACCATATTTTGGGGAACATTTCAGAATGAATAGAACAATATTTCAAGTAAGACATAATTGAATTTGAAGAATTTGTTGCGGCTCCATACTTTAGTAGCAGTTTCAGTCGTTTGGGGAGTGGAGAACAGCAGGCTGTCGAATATGACCCCTAAAAAGAACGGATTATTAATTGTGCGAATTTTACATCATCGACTTGTTGCACGTTTGGTTCGAGCCGGGCCGGCACTTCTTCGTCCAGCTGGTGGTGAAAAGTATAGCCGAGACCTTTTTGTAGTTGTAGCTGTCGAGAAGTGGGAAACGTCGCCGAGATAGACGATCACTTTCGAAAAAAGATTACCAATATCCAGACGGCAATACTATATAAAAAAAATTAAGGCTGTTTAAAGTTATGATATAATATAGTGCAAACTGCTCGACAGGATAGAGACAAATATAGATTCATATTGCTATTGGGTTCCGTTGGAGTTCTACTAAGTGGGACGTACTTGACGTATTTATTGGCATATGAGTCCAAAGAAACGACATCTGGTGACAAGGGAGCTTATAGAAGTAAAAAATTAAACATAATCGAAGAAAACACAACCGCCCCGTCTAATTTTGCGGAGTTTTGAACTTTGATCTTAAAACTCTTCCAATGACTGTCGACCACCGATACTGGTGTCGAATGCTTTCGATAGATGTAATGCTACAAGGATTTTCGCTTCCAGAGTAAGTTTTGGTTGAAACTATACTCAGGTGGTATGGTCTTATCTACTTTGGAATGGAGAGATACAGGCCGATATGACTCTACCTTGATTGCTGGTTTTCACAGCTTTAACAGCAGAACCACACCACGCAGTCTCCACATATCGAGTATAGGCACATGCTAAATCCGCTGCTACATTGGGAAATTTTTGCCGATTCCGCTAGCCGGTATCGGGGATCGACCAGACAATCTTGCGGGAAAATGAGAACGCCAGTTGGAGTGCTCAGAGCGTAGAATTCTCAGTGAATTCCGTAGAGTTTGAACAGTATAAAGTGCCAAATATCACTTCCATCTCAATTGCATTTATACATTTGTACATCTTTCATTTTCCCGCAAAGCTTTTCAATGCCATATTAGAGCTAGTAAAAGTAGCAGATAATTATGAAAGCTAAACCAGGTAAAGACGCAACCCTGTAATTATTATATAGAGCAAGCAGCCTGTTGTTTCGCCTTTTCGAAGTAGTACCACTATCGAAAATTTCTCCTTTTCTTCATGAGAATGATAAAATTTCTACACAATAATTTGGTTTTCGCGATTGTATCAGAAAATCGCATAACTAATGAAATAAGAAAAGCTTGCGATTTCAGAGAGTATTACTCGGCGATTTTTCTTGATTTGACGCAAACATTTGACAATGTGTGGCACAATGGTCTACTAATCCAACAGACGAGTCACATTAAAAGTAAATGAGTATGACACAAAGAGTATCTAATAAAGGCAGGTGTTTCGCAATGTTCACTGCAGATATTCTTACAAGGGATAAAGTAATCTTGTCAACGCGGATGATACTACTATAAAAAATCGACATAAATGCCCCATTACAGACACAAAAGTGTTACGAGTAGCACATAAAACTATTTGAAACATGACAGTAAGTGTGAGCACAAAGCTTAAAGCCAAATGAATGCCCTACTGTCAAGCTTAACGATTTCTCGATTTCAAAATTACATGCCTCGGAATTCACATATACAGGCGCTTAACCTGGGGACGACACAATTACGCTAAAAAGCTGCAGGTCAAACTCAAATCTGCCAGTTTATGTTGGCTTTTAAAGAAGAAGTGTGAACTTAGCTTGGACAACAGAGTCCTCTTATATAATGCAATATGGATCAGACCTGTGCGACCAACATTGAAAAGTTATAAAAAGTTAATTTAAATAAAAATCTAAGTTAAATTTTCTAATTGAGGTCGCCCCTCGACATGCAATGTCAACCCCTCCATGTGTATTTCTGACATAATATAAAGCTCCTCATAAAAAATGCATCACCCAGTTGGAGGTGGCTTAGTATACACGGTTGGAAAAACATCAAGACGCAAAACCACAAATTGGAGAAGGAGCTCGACGGAAAATTGCTTCAGCCGTTACAAAGCGCCAATTATATATATATACTTGTTATACTTATTCTATACTTATACTATTTTGTATTGAGCACTGATTTATAATCGAATGTTTGCATGTTGATCTTAGCTCAGTGTGTGTCACGATAGTGATTTTCGCATCTATTATTATGGCACTAGAAGACAAATGTAAAAATTCTAAAATGTCGAAATTCTCTTACTTATTTTACTTATCTATTTATCTTATAAAACTTTTAAGACTGTAATGAAATACTATTTATTTTATTTGTGCTAATTAACTAAACTTTTTTGAAAACTAATTATTTTTACCATGGAATACTTTCATAATATTTTGAAACTTAAGTATTTAATTTTACGTTAAACATTATATGAAAATATATAATATAAATATTTGTTGTAAAGAGTAAAAAATTATTTTCTTTCATTTTCAAAGTCAAAGTATCAAAAAAAATATTGTATGCATAGTGTATCAAATTTTTTTAGCTTAGTTTTTATTTTCCTAATTGCATTGGCATTGTTCCATATTGGCTTGCAGTTGCAGAAATTTTACAAAATTTAGATTAAATTTGATTTTTTCGATATTATTATTTGTTGTACTGTACGCAATGTATACATTTTTAAATTTATTCATAGTATTCTTTTTTTTTTTTTTGCTTAGACGATGGACGCTATGGCGCACACATGTTTGTGTAAACTCGATTGAATACGTGAGTGTGCACTCGAGACTATACTCGAATGTAATTTTTCTTTTCGATCAATGTTGTCGAGTGCTGTGATTGAGTTGTACCAAATTTTTGCTCGTGTGATTAAACAGGCTCGAACACACTCGTTGCAGCTCTCTGATATGGACATATGGAATCCAGTTCTGGGGCACAGCTTGCGCCACGAATAGAGATATAATTAAGTGGTTCCTATAGAAAACGTTAAGAGTTATACAGGGCGCATTATGATACATGCGTAATAGCATCGGACCACTTGCCCATACATATCTCGATTGGCAGGCGTCCCGACTTTGTTTCCGCGGACCACCGGACATTCGTTAACTTTAAAAAAGCTAACTGGCCCGGATTCACGGAATTTACCGAGAACGCCTTTAGTGCTCTTCCCACTCCAACTGACGTCACCGCTGGTGAACGCTCATTCCGCAGGGTCGTCGTGACCGCTGCCGCCCGCTTCATCCCGGCAGGCCGAATCGCGGAAATCCGCCCAAATTTTCCGACAGAAGCGGCGGTACTAGCAACCAGGCGCGACACCCTCCGAAGCTCCGATCCCGGGAATCCCCTAATCAGGGATTTAAACGCGGAGATTCGAAGAGTTGTTAACAGTCATAAGCGGAAAAAGTGGGAGGAGCACCTAAGGACCTGCAACCTCTCCTCTGGGGCAACCAAGCTCTGGGCCACAGTCAAATCGCTGTCTAACCCGACGAGACGCGATGACCGGGTGGAAATTTCATTCAGTGATCACGCCTCGTCGGACCCGAAGAGATGCGCGAGCTATTTTAGCCGTCTTTTTACATTGCATCCCTCTGTAGACAAAGCGAAACGACGTGTGACCCGCCGTATGCGCAAACTGCCAAACACCAGCGCGGTGCTTGATTTCTCCAGGGAGGAGGTTCAGGGGGTCATCGGGAAGGCGAAAGCCTCCAAATCCATCGGCCCCGAAGGAATAAGCATGCTGATGCTGAAACATCTTAGACCAGCGGGAGCAGAATTTCTCGCGAGGGTCCTCAATCTGTCTTTGACCACCCTGAAGATACCCGATGTGTGGAAAATGGGTAGGGTGGTCCCGCTACTAAAACCGGGGAAACCAGCCAACAAAGGAGAGTCCAATCGGCCGATAACCCTCCTCTCCCCGGTAGCGAAGACACTTGAGGCCTTACTGCTCCCGACCTTCACTCACCATCTGCGTCCAGCAGCGCATCAGCATGGCTTCCGAAAAGTGCACAGCACCACAACAGCACTTAACGCCATAAACACCCAGATAGTCCATGGCCTCAACCAAAACCGACCCTGCGCGCGAACTGTCCTAGTAGCACTGGACCTGTCAAAAGCCTTTGACACAGTCCATCATTCAGTGCTACTAACGGACATTGAGGAATCCTCATTACCGCCGGGGTTGCAGAGGTGGGTCATGGGCTACCTGAGTGGTCGACAATCATCGGTAATATTCCGAGGTAAAACATCTAAACCCAGAAAAATTAAACAGGGGGTTCCGCAGGGTGGTGCCCTCTCCCCGCTACTGTTTAATTTTTACATATCGAAACTCCCTCCACCACCAGAAGGAGTTTCCCTAACCTCGTATGCCGATGAC